CAGCCGGGGCACACCCCAGGCCAGCAAGGCCCAGCCCCTGCACCGGGCAGAGGAGCAGGAGCTCCCTGAGGCCGGCGGCCCCGGCCCCCGCAGGCATCGTTCCCCCAGCCCCTTACCAGCTCCGTCTCCTCCCGGCTCTGCCCGGGCAGGCCCTCGGCCGGCTGGAGCCCCAGCGCCAGCTCCGCGGTGCCGGGCAGGACGAGGCTGGAGCCGGCCAGGCAGAGCAGGCAGAGCCAGGCGCTTTCCATGCTCCCGGTGCCAGATGCGTCCCTGGATGCTCACGGATGCGCCTGGCTCAGCCGGATTTATACCCCCCTCCACCACCCTGCCACAGCCCACCCAGGGTCACCGGCGTGGGCAAACGCCCGCTGACGCAGATGGGGAGCAGGCGCCCAGCGGGTGCGTGTCCCCCCCAAACCTTGCCGCTGACATCAGGCGGGACGAGGGGGGGACGCGTCCCCGGGAGATGCATCCCCTGGGACCCAAGTGCCCCGAGCCGGCGGCCAGGAGCCGGCGGGACGTACGTCAGCGCCGCGTCCCGCCGGAGCAGCCCGAGAGCTGGCGGGCACAGAGCCCCCCCGGGACTGAGCCCCCCCAGCCCCGCAGCGAGGCAGAGGCCGCTCTGCCAATTCCCTGAGCAAACACAGCCTGCGGCGCGGCTCATCCCGGCGCGTCCCACCCGCCGGCACGGTGCTGGCAGAGCCGAGGGTCCCTCCGGGGATGGCGCAGACAGGGCGGCACGTGGGTCTCACAAACAGCTTTATTCCAAAGAAAGGGATGGTGGGGGGGACAGAGGGGGTGCTGCAGCCCCCCCAGCTCTGATGCAGAGCCGGCCGGGGTGGAGGAAGGCTGCTGCTCCCGGCCCTGCAACCAGGAAGGACCCCTGCCCAGCGGCAGAGGGGCGCTGACACCCCACAATCCCCCAAAGAGCAGGCAGTGGGCATGAACCCAAGTCGTTTAATCTGGCCCTGGCCCGGGAGAGCCGCAGCCCCCCGGGCCAGGGCACCCAAGGGCGCCAGGGTGCCGCGCAGGCACGCCCAGGCACTGGCTGGCTGGAGCCAGGGCAGAGCAGGAGCGCGTCCCGGTGCGGGGAAGGGGCTGGGGGCCCACGGCTTCCCCTCCCCTGCCCGGGGCACGGCCTGGGCCAGCAGCGTCCCGGCGGGTGGCAGCATCCCCCACGTCCCCGGTGTCCCCAGGCCCTTAGGAGCACTTGAGGATGAGCAGGTTGCAGGCGGTGCCGCGGGGGCAGCTGCAGAGCTTCCCGATGCGTGCTCCCTTCCGCACGGCGCACGGCTCCCCGGGCTCGCACTGCGGGACGGCATCGGTCAGCGCCGGGGCTCGGCCAGCCTGGCCCCCCCGGGGCTGCACCCCCGCGACCGGCACCCAAAGGGCCTAGCTCCGGTGCTGGCCGTGGGGTTTGGCCCCCCCCAGCACCCAGGGCTGGGTGCCCACCGCCCCCCAGCCCGGCCGTACCAAGGGCACCCAGCTCAGCCTCTTCTCTACCGCCGGCAGCTCCCTGCTCCCCAGCTTCTCCAGCATCTCCTGCAGCGCCTCGACCTGCGGTAGACAGCACCGTGTTACCCCGAGTCCCCCGGGGCGCCCAGGGGCTCCGGATCCACGGCACCCCGAGTCCCCCAGGACGCCAGCGCCGGATCCTGTCCCATCCACGAGCAGCACCCATCCCCGCAAGTTGCACCCTGGGATGTAAGCACCGCTCCAGACCCCCTGTGCCTGGCTTGGTCCCTACTGGAGGGGAATCAGGGCTGTGGCAGGATCAGGGGGGCTCGGAGTGTGTCCCACCGCCTGGGTGCAGCCCCGCGTCCCCAGCACCCACCCGCCTAGTGCAGCATCTCCCCCCGCTGCACCTGAGCCAGAGCAGCCCCTCGGGGCAGGACCGGGAGGGAAAACCAGGTAAGAACTGCCAATTCCCACGTCGAGTCCCCGTGCTCCTGGGGGAGCTGCTGTGAGGAACCCTCCGAGCGCCCAAGAGCCGCGACAGAAAACCAGCGGCGAGGTCTTGGCCCCCCCCCAACAGCCTGGGGACACCCCAGTGCAGCCAGGACCAGCCCCTGCACCGGGCAGAGGAGCAGGAGCTCCCTGAGGCCGGCGGCCCCGGCCCCCGCAGGCATCGTTCCCCCAGCCCCTTACCAGCTCCGTCTCCTCCCGGCTCTGCCCGGGCACGCCATCGCACGCATGGGGGC